AAAGAGATGATATGATTTTTCCATGCTTCCTTATCAAATCATTGTTTACTTCATTATCATAAGCAAATAACAATGGCAATTGTTGATGAAAAGATAATAAATCCAATGGTGAAATAAATAAGCTATTGTTGAAGCTAAATCGATCTTTTCCGCTCTCTTACATTAACAAAATATTTCCTTCAATTATTTTTAAATATTTCCCTTTTTTTCGATCAATGCAAATTAATATGACAATATATTACTCATTCTTTGAATGCTTTTCAGATATAATATTTATATTAAAATTTTAGATATAAGCCTTACTATTGCAATTATTTTTAAATTTAAAAAAATATATTACTGAATTATTATTCTATTTATTTTAGATAATATGGTAGAATAGTATTTGTGAACCTGAAATTGTAAACTATGAAATATGGAAAGTTATATTTAAAAGCTTATATAATCCTGATTGTAGTAAAATCATTTGAATTAGACATTATTCATTTAAAATTGAAATGGTTTGAAAATTAATTTGAATACTTTTACTATTGCTAATATTTGTGATAGTGTTAGTTGTACCACACTATTTGCTTCTAAAAATTAATAAAATATATAATTTAGTGTATTTGACAGCTGGCCTAATCATTGTGATCGAAGCATATAACTTAGTTAATTATTAATTTTGCTTTCTTCGGTTTAAGTCAAAGAATGATATATGGTAAGGTCTGAACATCACAGTGAAATTTAATTAAATTGAAAAGAGAACAATAAAAATGTATGGAAAGCTCTCTGCACTTAATTACAACCATTTTAAAAATATCTTGGTATATTCCTGTTGTCCGGCATTCATTCCTTATTCAATTGATTGATCGAATAATTTTTGAAATCATCAAAACTGATTAAATAAATCGGAAAATTATATTTTGCAAAGGCATCATGGAATAAGCGTTTCATAAAGAAAATTTGACTTGTGTAGAAAACTTTCGAATTAAAATTTTTGATTCGAAAATATCTCGAATTCTGGCAATACTTGAGAGATAATTAATTCATCATCTACTAAAGTCTTACTACCAACTTGGATACATTTCGCATTTCTTACAATAAAATTTTTTGTGGAAGTAAGAAGCGGGAAGAAGGGAGAAGATTAAGAGATTATAAGATAATGATTTAATTATACGCTTTTCAACTTGTCATTCATATTAGCAAAAATTTCTTCTGTAAAATGCTTCTTACCCCCTCTCCCTTTTTCTCTCTTTCATTAAGATTTAATTAAAGGCTTCTTTAATGAGTGTGAAATCCTAGTGAATTAATAAATCATATCCACAATAATAATGGCTTCAATCTTCCTTTCAAGATACATTGGTGCTCCCGAGATTTCTTTATGCTCTTTGAAGCTTCTTCATTCTAGTTTTCAATAACATCATGTATTTAAGATAAGTTTAAGATGAATTTCTTAGTCAACGATGTCATAAAGGAATATTCCTTTAACTTATCCTTTTTGTTTTCTGCCCTTTACACCTTCAGAGTTTTTTTCATCCTATTTTTGAAATTACATTCCATTTCATGTAAATCCAATAAGATAATATACAATAAAAACACGAAATCATCGAACAATCCTCATTCCGGAAACAATGTTTCAATCATCTGATCTTGATTTGCAGAAATGATCGGAATAAATGGATCAAAATTACTTTCTTCTCTATCCACCATTCTTTTTATTTGTAGCAATATATTATGATTGTGTTACATTTTCCTGATTACTAAAAATCCGGAAGATTATTAACTGATTAAATGTTAGATGAAATTCGAATATGAAGAAAACATGAATTTTAAGACCATTTATTACAAATAAAATGAGTAAAATTAACAAAATTTACGGCAGATTGATTGTTAAATAATTTTAAAATTAATTAAAAAATATGAATTTCTTATTGTTTTAGACTAGAAAATGAATTCGATGATTTTATTGTTTCTCAAATTACTTTGAAATATATAAACATAAGTTGAAAGATTCTAAGTTCGGTAGATAATAGTTAAATGCTAATATAATAATATTGAAATTTAGCGATGACAAAGATTTTCGAACCTATTCCTTTCATAGATAATATTATGTATGAATTGAAGATGGCGAGGGATTAACTTCAATCGCGTAGAATGAGAACAACAAATTTTGCTCATTTTCGTTTCTTTTGGCAATCATTTTAGCAGGCGGTTTTATGCCACTTTTAATTTCTAAATTCTTTTTTTAACCATCCTTAAATTGCAATGCGAGAAAAAGATTAGTAATTATTATTAATTGCTATTTGAATACTATTAGGGATAAGCAAATTTTAGACAATATACCAATATTTAAAGATTACCCTTTAACCCTGGTTATTACTTTGACAATAACTCTATCTTTAGTTAAACAAATTGAAGTAAAGTTTTTATTTTTTTATTAAATTTGTTTCCACGAATAAAATAAAAACTAACATTATTTCACTTCATCCATTTTAAATTTAAAAGTTCTAATATCCCACAATCTTTTTTTTCTATTAAATCGTATCCGACTTCCCTACAACGCTTGCCATTTTCAACATTTAGCTTAGCTTTAATGAAGTGATAAAGATGGATTTGAAGAATGAAGAATCTGAAGTATGAATGACCTATTTACTTACTTACTTAATTATCACGGAAAATATCGCAATAAATCAATTGTATTTGTAATTAATTTATTCCCTCTGCCTCTTATATGACACTGTTTTTACTTTTTGGTATTATCACTTAATGCTTCTGGCGGAATAATTGCAAATACAAAAATTGGGTCACTGTCCTCTTCTCATATTGATCATATAAGGAGCAAAGAGATATAATACGTCTATATGAGCTTATCAGTGATTAGAAATCAATTTTAGGAATGATTGGCTATGCGTAACATATCTTCTATTCACCGATGCTACAACTCTACCTTAAATTCCAATATTGCACCTAAAGATCTAAAAGCTACAAACTACTTATATTATTGTTACTAGGCCGATTATCAGAGCCTTGTCAACTTGCAGTGGGAAATCATCATTAGTTGTAGCATGATATCAATTGTACGACGCTTTCTGCTTTTCTACTTATATATTATCAACATATTTTTGTGCATACCTCTTTCGTTGGCTATTTGGTGGATACGGCGAAAATTTGACGAGAAGTCAGTGGCTGGAGATAAACAGGTATTGTAAAATTTCAAAATTCGACTGTGTAAATGTCTGATTTTATTCATTTGATAACGGGAAATTAGGTATTATTATGGGACGTGATCATGCAAGGAATGTTTCAACTGTTTATTTCCGCCCGATGATAATAATGTTGCAGTGGAATATTATTAATTTAAAAAATAAATCAAGTACCACTTTTGTTAACTTTATGTCATTTATAATTTTATGCTTTTTATGATAGGTTATGTAATCAGAAGTTCATTCAATTCCTGTATTCGATTATTGTTGAACTGATGAAATTTGGAGACGATTATCTTATCAAGCGTTATACATGTCGACTTTTTTTTTCCATATGAAATTATCTCTATAATTACTATCTCCCAATCATTTACAATCATTGTTGGTGGTACTTTAAAGTATCATCAATAGTAGAAATTAAAACTTATGATAGGTTTAGAAAACCTAAGTAGAAGTATTGTAGTGGAATCTATCCTTTGATCAATTCTGATATTCAGTTTTAATTCAATCATTACTTTAGACTGTAATAAATAAAACTTTTCAAACTGTTAAAAGTATTAGCGGTGATTTTCTTCTCATTGTGTTGTTACTTCCTTTAAAAACAATAAAAGCAAATGTTTTTGATTGACATATAAATCAAAGTTTCTAAAAATAAATTACAAAAGTGGTAACGTTCGCTTGTTTTAGAAAACTGTTCAGTAATAAAATCCCAACCATATCCGGTTTCCTGAGAAATTTTGCGAAAAGAAAATAAAACCTTTAGCATAGTTACGGAAAAAAGTTGAAATTTTCCTTCACTCATGAAATGTTTCAGATGTAAAATTATTTGATTATTTTTCTTTATTTGTCATACCTGGAAATTATTTTAATAAAGTAAAAAAGTATTTATTTGCTAATAAAAAAAGTTTGTACAAAGAGGGAATTTAATCAGATCATTCTAATTTCATCAGAATCTAATTAATTATTCTACTGTTAGCTTTTCTGATCAATTAGTAAACTTTTGAACATTTTTTATTGGAAAAAATATTAAGTAATATAATTTAATTCATAGTTATCCTATATGACATCTCCGGAAATAAAAAAATGAATTTTGAATCTGCAATTATCTGCAATTATTGATAAAGTTTTTGCATCAAACATGTAAGATGGCTTCTTTCCTTTAGAATCAAACCTTCAGATATGTGGAAGAAAATATAGAAGGATAAATTAACATGGGTCTCGGATACATCTAATAGCTTAAGTTATGATCTAATTACATGTAATGGTAAGGCTACCATCTGATTATATATCTAAATGAAGGAAAATAATTTGGTGGCATGTGGAAGAAATTGTTAGCTAGGAAATGAAACTTTAGATCTGATTGTTTGGAACTTTAAATTTAAAAATAATTCTTATCGCATTCTAAATAGTCTGATTTGCATGAAGCGATAGATTTTTAAAGAATTCCTAAGCCGATTTTGATAAAAATCATATGGTTTGTCGAGATACATTATTGATAACTTATCATATCATCTTGTCGATAGTGTATAAATAATTTTGGATAATTGGTATGACAATAGAGACGGGAATTGAACTCTCATTATTCGATTTTTTTTGACAACATTTCACTGAGGAAAGAGAAGAAAAAAGATTTAAATAAAATAAGAGAATGAATAAAAATGAAGAAAAGAATAATTTATATTATACTTTCCTAATCTTGCAGACATTATTGTTATCATCAATATATCATCGAAATCTTTTTTTATTGTTAATATCAGTGGGTACTTGTATTATGGAAATATTTAACAATTAACTTTTGAATTAGTAATTTAAGGCATGCTCGTTGTCATCTTCCATCCTGAGCAATGGAACGGTGGCTCCGATCGATGCACACTTGGGATAATTAAACATTTTATTGATTTGGGACATCGAGTTATTTGGTATACAACAATGATCGATTGCTACTGGAATGCTGAATTATTTGATAACGTCGGTTAGTCTTTGTTTTTTCTTTTCCTTTTTATGATCTCTCTTTAGTTAATCTATTCTATTATGAGTCTATTCTAATTAACAAAATTTTAGCGGTAGTTACGCAACAAAGATTTTTTATATCGGAACACCTTGGGAAAACACAGCAATTTAAGGCGGAATACAAACTGAACAAAAATGATAGGCCTGGCATGTTAATAGATTTAATGAAAATATCGAAACACTTAAGAAGTAATCGAACTCAATAGTGATCAGAACCTATAAGTCCTCCAAATTTCTGCCATATGAAAAGTTAACTTTCACATGTTTATAATTCATTGGAATATTCAATGTTTGTATTTCAAACAGTTTTTCATTAAATTTGTTAACATGACATTAAACAGTGCCATATATTAAAATATTTACAGAAAAAATAAAGTAGTTTCAATAAAATTTTAAATAAGGACAAGTGGAAATTACAAAAGTATAATTTAAAATATAATTTGAAGGAAATTTTAGAGAAATCGATAAAAGAGAAGTTAATAAGCTTATCATCAATTTTTTTCACCTTCTAAAAAAGATAAGAAGATATCTATAATTTCTACAACCAAATGATCGTTTGAATTTCAACATAATGTCAATAGTGACCATACAATAGTTCAAGATAGCAGTTAAATTAAACTGATTATTTCATCCTGATCTGATTTGCTTAACTTCGGGCTATGTATTAAGCCATTTGGTGCAAATTTCAAACAGCTTGGCATTTTTAAATTGATAACTAACAACGTAGGCTAATTAATAAGGTCAAATTAGATTAATTAATAAATTATGTTTACAGAAAAAAGGAAATGTTTTCAGAAATACGAGATGTAAAATTGCCATTGCATCCAGGAGATTGGTGGACACAGAATATAGTGCTTGCTTGGCAACTCATTTTTTCTGGTCTTGTTCCTGATCTTGTTATCATTGATCATAGTGCAAGGTACATGAATAAAAACAATTACGATGTGCAACACTCTTCAGGTTTCTTGTGAAAAGAAATTATGTCAGAAATGCAACAATCCGTCAGGAAACGCCCAAATACGTGTATGGGTTTTTTATGAGATAATACAGCAATTAGATTATTAAGCAGAAGTTATAATTAAGGTTTAAGTTTAATATCATAATTAAATGCTGTTAAACAGTAATGTCAAATAAAATGCATAATTCTGAATTATTTAACAGTTGTTTACCGATGTTAAAATGGCGATTTCCAAATGTTAAAATTTTATTTTATTGTCACTTTCCTCAACAACTCGTTACACCTACACGCTTTTTTCTCTATCGTTGGTATTCACGATTAATTGGTTTAATCGAAGGTTTACTGTTCCAGAAAGCTGACCTCATTATGGTTAATAGTCATTTTACAGGTAATCCATTCATTTCTCATTTAAACTAAAAAATTTATGCAACCGTTTAATGAAAAAATTGAATCCAAAATAGCGCTTCTCGTTTTTAGCTTTTTTGAAACTTCAAAAAATCCTCAATTCTTATCTCTTTTATTTCTATATTTTCAAAAAATTAAATTACATTAATGAAAAATAAAAATTTTATATTAAATCCAGAACCATTTCAAAAGATAAATAACTCATTTATAGAAAGTCAGTTTCTTCGAGTAATGCCAGAAGTAAATCCATCTCGACTAATGGTGGTTTATCCACCATGTGATGTTGATGCTATTAAAATTGGAGTTAAACCAATCAGTCGTAAACAACGTCAGTACAACAATAAACGTTACATGTTTTTATCAATGAGTCGTTTTTGGCCGGAGAAGAAATTGGACATTATTATTAAAGCTGCTGGTAATAATTTCTTAAGCGTATCTGAAGTCATCAATTTTTAATGACTCTTCATCTTTTCATTTAGCACATTGATTACGTATCATAGGTCAAGATAGGCAAGATAATAGTGAATTTGTTCTAGACAATACTTTATGAATGTTAAAATTGAACAATATTGAAGCTATGTGAGATGATGTAATTAAATTAAAATTTTAAAATAAGTTAAAAACTTGTTAACATATATAAAATAATAAATGATAAAGCACGAAATATAATTATTAGTATATTTAGAAACACTTTAAAAAGTTTACTATATTATAGCACTACTAAAAAGAAACAGTCAGATGCGACCACGTATTGTACTTGCTGGTTCCGTGATGCCTTATATACCTGAATCACGTATTTATTATAATTTATTACAAAAAATGGTTAAAGATCTGAAGGTAAATGACGATATTTTTCATCCAAAGTGTGTTGTGTGAATTTTTGAAATAAAAATATAAAATTGAATAATTAATTTCACTGTAAGATATTAATGTCCACAGAAATAATTCACAGACACATAATTCACAGACAAATATCCTTTTCCTATTTTGCTTTAGGTTGATGATATTGTGGAATTTGTGAAATCTCCAACAGATCCAGAAAAGTTTGCTTTATATAGGGAATGTGATACAGTTCTTTATATACCACCGAATGAACATTTTGGTATCGTACCTGTAGAGGCGTTGGAGCAACGTAGACCGGTTATAGTTTGCAATAGTGGCGGCCCATCTGAAACAGTGATTGAAGGAATAACTGGTTCAAAGGTCATTCTCTTTTCAATGTTTGAACGATTACATGTGATCGCAAGAATCATTATTTCTATTTCCTGTAACTATGAAATCTCCTAGGTACATTAATCATCTAAATAGTCATTAGTGATGTTTTATCATTTCGGAAGTTTTCGGCTAATAATCTTCGGATTTTTTTTAAATGAAAGATTCTGATGTCCATTTGGATGTCCTCAAAATCCAAAAATCTTTTACCTTCGCAAAAAAAAAACAATGCTGAAACTAACTTAGAAAGTGATAAACTAACTTAGAAAATTTTATATTTGTTGATATGATAAGAAAGACAGTTGCAATATCCAATGATTATAATTTAATGTAGCAGAAATAGTTACCATACAAGGAAGAGAACCAGCTTTGGATGGACTTCATATTTCATTTTGGGTTAGCGTAAAATCTAAAACTGATTGTTATCCGGAAAAAATATTTCTCATTTTGTGTAGTGAATTTAATGCATTTCCATCTTCTATGAAATCTATCTTCAAATTTGCCGTTTTTTTCTTTTTTTTGCAAATATTCTTATGCTATTGATTAAAATGCATTAAATTTATATGCAATATTATTATTTGATTGTTAGATTCCTTCCTATTATATCGTTATTAAAGTTATCGTCTAAAATTTACGATTTTTTATAAACCTAAATCAACTTTAATATCAAAAATGTTATTATAAAACGTTGGAAACAAAAACTAATATTTTCGAATAATTATATTATCAGTATTTCTTACAACGACTTGGCATTATTTCTTATATAGACGGATTAAATAAGTTCATTTAATACTTGAAATTAAAAACGTTTATTTCTCAAGAAAAGTCGCTTTTGTAGATAGCTGCTCCTCATGAAAAACTGTTAGCAACTGCTATGGAAGAACATATGAAACGAATTTCATGGCCTGCTCTCGATAACGATGATATCTATAAGCATCAGGTATCATTTGACCTTCGTCTTTTTTTGTTTGAAACCTTCAAATACTTAATTTACAACTTTTTTTTGCTTTTTCATGTTGTCTTCAGTTTATTTGTTATAAGAGATTATTAGAGTGGATAGATCGGACAAGATTCATGAGTGACCATATTCCTCACTTGAAAGTGCGCTGCATTAAATGATTGACGAATCACGATAAGCTTATTAATGGAGAAAATAATTATTGCAGCGAAAACGTTTTGAACAGTACTTCAGTTTGAATGGATTTTGCAATAAAATCAATGAGGCCCTTGCTGTTTTATTTCCAAATAATTCGATTATGGCCAGCAAAACTTTGCTGCTTGACGATGAGAACAGAAAACCTTCTTAAATATCAACCACTTACTTTCCAATATCATCTCTTATACATTTTGTTGTTAACGTTGGGATTTTTACCAGTTATCTCTTTTTTAAAATTCTGTTTAATGAATTAATTATTATGTGCTGATTATATATGCTAATGGTATAATTGCTCGAAAAAATTTTTAATATCAGTGAGAAGCTCCCGTAATATTTGTTCTCATCCTTCATGTAATTAGTACTATAAAGTCATGTAATAATTGGCAACAATAAATAAAGGATTCAGTAATATTGTTTGAAGTATAATATAAGTTTGTGTCATATCTATTCGATGTCAGGGTTATATGTAATATCAATTTGTAAAGAATTTGATACCTAGGAATATCCTGGTTTTGTATTCCATATGCGGTATGGAAATTGTCAATTTTGAAGGTATTCTTCTCGATAACAAAAATAGTATTAAAAACACCTAAAATTTTACTTAACTATCTGTTAATCATGAGTATTTCGTTTAAGTGCAAAAGTGTCTTTCTTCTTATGGCAGATAGTGATAAAATTCTTCGAGAAGCTAACTTTTTATGCTTGAGAAATTTAATCTTAACTTGAAATGTATTTTAACTGCTTTATTTCATCTAATTCATCGATAGTAACCGGTGTGATCAAAAATATGAAAAAGAAAATATTATTCAAAGACGTTTAAGCAGAAAAGTTCATCCATCTCCAGTTTTTTCCCACTTCCGAATAGGAAAAGCGTTTTTTCTACTTCCGGAATAGGAAAAGCGTTACGAAATTTTAGCCTCAATGAAAATTTGATTCTATCAGCTTTGTTGAAATTGCATTGATAACAAGATGAGAAACTGCACAGATTAGTGGTATAATTTAGTTGAAAAAATAACTAAATAATTCCTTTTAGTTCTCATATCAAATGAAATCAGTAAAATGTAAGAAATTTTGAAATCTTGTAAATCTGCAATAAGTTATAAACTCGAATGGAATTTGCGTATTAAAGTGTAATAGTTTCGTTACTTTTTCTTAGCTTTAAATAACTTATTATTAAAAAAAATGTAACTTTAAAAGAAAAACAAACAATAGAAAATCAATGAAATTTTCAATTCCACAGAAGTTTTCTTTGAAAATGATTTCCATGAAAAAAATGACAATAATTTTTGTTGAGGAAAAACTGAAAGTGATACGCTGAATGCTACAGCATCTAAGAATGGTTTCAGTTTTACAATCCACTGCTCACTTCAATTCTATTCGGTTCTTTGCTACAATATTTACACATATCAAATTATTATTTACGATGTTGCCTGTTTCCATCTGATGGTCTTCTGATACAACGAATTTAATTGTGCTACAGAATATCGTAACCACTGGTAATGAAAAATGATAAAACTGTTATTAGAATCATTTTCATCAAAGCCATCTGAATGTTCCAAGTTAATACTCAGACAGCTTGCCAGAATACCCATAAAGACATCATCGAGATTAAACAGTGGAAATGAACAAATACCATCCACTATACGTTGCGCTGCTTCACGTGTTACAATAAGGCCTGACCCCTAAATGTTATTCAAAAGTTCAATTTATAAATGCAAGTTTTCTATAGCAAACTTTAGCTAGATAAATATTAAACATTGATTAGATTTCCAGTGAAAAATGTCGTTACAGCAATCTCTTTCCATCCAATATTATTTTCTCGCATACGTCACATTTATTAAAATTGAAAATCACTCTCAAAACAATTGTCATAATTATTGTGGAACACTTATGTGTTAGCTTAGCAAGGATATTTGATTATCATGAAGTTCTGTTTTTTAAATTGCCTTGTCTTTTACTATAATCGGCAACAATAAGTAAGAGATTCAGTAGCGTAATTAATGTTGTTTGAGGTATAATATAATCAACATAATTCGTAATATGAATAATATTATATATAATGGGAATTGAGTATGTAAGAATCACTTCAGTTTTTGAATAAAAATTTAGTCCGTTTTTAAAGTGCACAAATGAATCGTAATCTTTAAGCTTTGTTGAATAAAAGTTTATGACGGAAGAAAAAGTTTGCAAAAATCTTTTCAACTGTAGTTTAAAAATAAAATGAATTGGAAACTTTATTAATAGAAAAATGAACCTGTATAAAGGGAGAATAACATAATTTCGGATACATTTCATATGGTATATACCATAATAGCGAACTTAGAAATAATCTTGGATAGCCACGTGATACTTTTCCACGCAATGTTGCACCTTTCAAACGATTCAACTGAAATATATGTTTGTTTGGATGAAGAAAGAAGAATTTCTGGGAAAAATTTCATATCAACTGATATGAAATGTTAAAAATAATAGCAGTACTTTTCTTAAGCTTAATTGATTTAACGAAAACATACAAAAAACACGTTACTGTTCATTCTGATTGATTGTTTATGATCAAATGTAATATTAGATTCAAAAGGGATATTTTATTTAATAGTAAAAATGAAATATAACCGACGACAGATAGTAGAAAGGATGTAGAATTTAAAATAAACCAAATTTTAATCAAAATCAATTCAACACATAAAGATATAAATGAAAACCTTTTTTATAGCGGTAGCATTTGCAATAGCATCATCATTAATAATAACAATTTCTTGTAAATCAGGAAATTTTCCAAAGAAATGCTTGTATGCTAAAGTTGTTTTAAGTGTAAGATTAAAATATGAATCGATGAAGTCGAATTGTATGATATCCTGGTAAATTGACGCTTCTTCCTCCACATTATAGCCATCAATACCAAGGACAAAAATAACAGGAATATCTGGCTCCATATCTGATTTCCATGTTTCTCGGATATATTTACGATATTCACGTGCCGATGGTGCATTACGCACTACGCTCATTCTGTCCAGATGATGCGAAATTGTTGGGGTAATAAGTATTCGTATAGATTCCTCATATAAGCATTTTTTCCGCTCATTAAATTTTTGTCCAGACGATTGAAAGAATTGTTGCAAACATGAATTCAAGTTAACCTTTTCACCACGCGGCACATTAAGTGACTCGTGTTGCGTGTAACACAATAAGCGCAATGGAAGTAAATTCCGCTCCAGATAATTTGCTACCTGAAAATAATTTTGAAATGCAAGTCAGAATTTAATTTTGACATTAAATAAGCTATACGCTAAATAAGCTCAAGTAATTGCAGTTACACGCAATAAATTACACACAGTTACATGCAAGAACTACTGCAACTGCAAAATTTAAAGAAAGGAAAAAAATTCTGCTTCAACTGTCTTTCATTTTAAAATTATTAAGTTTTCTATACGTAATGTGTAACTTTTGCTCGTGTTGCAGCATACATTTAAGATATTGAAATTAATTTTAGAAAAAAAAATTAATTAACTAACCAGTAAATAAGGTATTATCCAAGAGAATTGCCACATGAAAAGTTTTCCTGCACTTGGAAGAGCTTCATTTCGACGAAAAATAAGTTTTCGCAATGCATATTCAAGTCGCATTCTAAAAGCAACAGATAAAATAGAATTGATCATTTAATAATGCTCATTAAATGGAACAATAAAAGATTGATTTATCTCTGAGCAAAATTTGCAACCTTTTATTTTCCTCATACCTTCATGTCTCTCCTACCAATCTAGCAATAAAAATATTCCAAAATCGGCTTTGCAAAAACTTCATATCCATGAAACATTTTTAAATGTTTACTTCATGAAAAATTTAAATGTATTATTCGTAAGTTAAGGTTCTTATTCTAACAATATATGCCTTAATTCAATTTATTCGGAAAAGAAATCATTACGTTCATCGATGAATGTTAAAATATTTAAATAATGACCATTCATTGATAACTTTAATTTTTTTCTAATTTGATCAAATTTCTGCTAAGACCACTGACAGTTGTTCCAATTGTTAATCATTTTATATTATGAAAATTTATTTTGCACTTAAACACTTCATCGTTAGTTATCTATCCATGCCAGTAGCATTACAAGAAATAAATAATAAGTGTATCGTTTATTCATAATTTCCGACTTCTCATAAATTTAATTTCATTTAAGAAAATCACGAAAATATTGCGGTCATTCCTTAAACAGCTTTTCCATACACTTTATAGATACCGAAAACTTGAAATATGATACGCTTAAAGCATGAGATAAATGAAATAAAATCAAATTCAAAAAGAATGATTGAATTGCAAATTTGGGTCGAGAATGTTGCCTGCATGATCGTGCGACATTCACTCACAAAACTTGATCAATGTGATAAGGCGACTGTCAAGTAACACACGCAGTGCAAATTATCATTTGTCACTCAAAATGGCTGGCATTACTTTCTATTTGTCTGATCAGAGAACAGTTATGCATTATCAAAAGATATGCAGCAATGCTTGGCTTGACAGAATTTAATTTAGTAAATTTGTATAGCTATATAACTGTCTGGCTCATTATTTCGCGACTTTTATTTCAAGACGAGAACTACATATAGAAAAGGATACAAATAAGACTTGACTATGCACAAAATGAACACCTACTTCAATATACATCATGTCGTATTCTGTACACTGTTCTTAACAACAAAATAAACTTCACAATGAATT